TTAATGATCACATAACTACATAAACACTGTCTTGGTATGTTCACATGAAACGAAATAACAAACATAATGTGCGGGGTTCTGCCTAGAATAAAATTAGAGGTGGTTGGAGACTAATATTGCTCCTTTTTATTCATGGTACACCATACTAGTAGACTACAATATCATGGTTTATGTATGGTTATTAGTATTAATTGGATGGTTGGTCTAAGTGATGAACTGGTTGGTTCATTTGTTGAGGTGGTTGTCCCGACCACCCCCGACCACAATAGGCAGAACTATGAATGTGCATTCAGGAAAAAGGGTACAATAGAAAAGGGGGAAAGGATCATTTCTAACCTTTAACTTCAGCTGCTACAGGATTATAACAGCATATTTCAAAACTGCTAGCGTCAAAGCTCCACAGAACATTATACTCTGGATCGATACACAGACTCCTCCCACTCAGAGACTCTTGCTCATCACCATCCAACCTATTGAAGAATACATGTACATGTAACGTCACATGATAGTCACGTGATCAAAACATGCAAATGTACATGTACATGTAAATGGTTTATTGCATGTACATGTACATGCAGGCTTTAAGCATAATAAAAAGGTCACTATCACATCAGTATAATGATAGTATTGGTTTTTTCCAAAAAATGGCTCCGAAATCAACCGGAATTTTTATTACATTTTCTGATACATATTGATGCCCTTATGCTGTGTAGAAAGTTTGAGCTGATTCCGACTTCAATTTTTCAAGTTACAGCAATTTTAAGAAAATGCCAAAATTCTGAAAAATACCCAAGGCTATAGCCCATGGTTTTTTTCAAAAAATGGCTCCAAAATCACCTCAAATTTTTATTACATTTTCTGACACATATTGATGTCTTTCTGATGTGTAGAAAGTTTGAGCTGATTCCAACTTCAATTTTTCAAGTTACAGCCATTTTAAGAAAACGCAAAAATTCTGAAAAATACCCAAGGCTATATTACAAACATACTGTAACTAAAATAATCCAAATATTCTTCTCAATAACAGTAATGTACATGTACATGTAAATATACAAGTAACATGTACATAACTCCAACAAGCGTAACAGGGTAAAAAATATTCCTATAATTGATTTCACCACCTTGCAAGTACAACTTGGCCATTACTAAGACTTATAGAGGTTCTCTCTACCTTATAATGCTTCTAGAGAAGTCTTTAGACAGTATCTCTATGCTCTCTTGCTGTTAGAACTTAGAAAGCTCTTAGCTTTGTCCCATGTGTAAGCCACCATTTTGTTTGCCGTGACCACACCCACTCACGTAAAGGAGCGTGGGCGGGTGGTTGCTAAGGCTTGTTATTTCTCCAATACAACGTGTATAGAAGAAATGTAAGTGTGGACATACAAATAAATATATATATATATATTATATATATACATAGCGCGAGGGTGAATTCAATTATAGGAACGACCTGGGGGCTTTGCCCCCAGGTCGTTAATAACTAACTTTTTAGATAGTAAAGTGGTTGGATTAATAACAACAAGACTTGACTTCATCTCATCAATTGAAGGAGGCAGCAGACCTAGCAATACAATAATTAACATTCATGATAGGAGGATTTAACATTATATAAGAGAGAGAAAGAATTGGTCACTCCTTCCATGAAATACCCTAAACTACAGCACAGGATACATGTACATGTACATGTATTTTGTCAAAAATGGCTAGAAGTTCATTTTTATAATTTTTTGATGCATATACATGTACATGTACATGTTCTTATGCTGTGTAGAAAATTGAAGCTGATTTCAAAAAAATTAAAAAGAAATCTATAAATTTATAAATTACATATACATGTTTTTATACACATACATGTACTGTATGTAATTATGACATGTGCTACATGTATGCATGTAAAATGTACCTATACAATCAGTGTGTCCAAATACGACAGTCTTATTCAACAAATCATCAGAAACAAGTGATTCATCGACTGATATAAAGGTCTGGTTGTTTGATGCTGATATCCACTTTGACTTGTAAGAGTCACTTAGAGTGACACAGCCTGGGACCATGTGCCACTCCTTATCATCGGAAGGAGGACGACCTAACTGACCCTCCTAAAGAGAGGGAGGAAGAGGGAGAAAAAGAAGGAGAAAAGAGGAGAGAGAAATAGTTCATTAATGATATTCATAGTTTTATTGGTGTGTGCTACCCACGATAGCATCAACAGGTTTATGTACATATACTTCATACACAGACAGACAATACCATTATAAAGCATTGATGACAATCAAAGGGGGAATTTCTGAAAAGACCATATCTGCTGTAAATTAAAAACTTGAAAGTACTGCATTCATGCACACTGTACTTGATGCATAATGTACATGTATAGTCGGTTTATTTCGAGGATAATAAATTTCGTAAATGATCCGTATCCAGAAGTTTGTGGAATTAATTTTTGCGAATTTGCACTATTCTGTCATCTTATACTGTATTAAATTGATTTTCAAAGAATTTAATTTTGCGAATCTTGAAATATCCATGAAATTCACAAAATTTGTCATCTTTGAAAATAACCTGCTATACGGTATGTGAGAACAATTTTTGTACCTGTACAGTATTACATGTACACATGTGGATGTCAGTAGTTACCTGGTGTTTACCAAAGGTGTATACGTCTCCATTAGCCAGTAGGACCACTGTATGATTGTCACCACATGATACCTGCTGAGCTGGTCCAGGCAATGGGACCTTCACTGGATGACCACTATAAATAATAATAATAATAATAATAATAATAAATAAATAAATAAAAATTACACTAATAACAATAGTAATTAACAAATAACTGGAAGATAAACAATGTACATGTGTAAATAAATAAATAAATAAAATTAAAATTAAATAAAACATAAAAGTAAAAAATACCATGGTTTGTTATTTCCTTGTCCCAGTTGCCCGTGGTTACCATTACCAAAAACATACACGTCTCCACTATGCAACAACAAAGCTAAAAAATAAATAAATAATAACAGCAACAGCAATTAATAATGTACAGTACAACAGGAAATACTGTTATTCAATTTTATAACATGATCTTATGTTGTGTAGCAAGTTTGAGATCATTCCAAATAAAATTTGATTTATTGTGAATTTTTAAAATTACTCAAAAAATCTAAGCATGCTTTGTGTGAAAACCCTGTATACATGTATTTA